TATGTATGTATGTATACATGCATGCTCCCTTCGTGCTACGCGAGAGTCTACACTGGGGATTCCAGCAGCCTCAAGGCTTTTCAGCCCCAGGTTCCCCCCCTCGGAAGAGCCGAAACGAGCACCTAAATTTATGCCCTCGTGAAGTTTAGGGGTCTGGCGGTCTAGGGTTTAGTTTTTTTGGGGGGTTTAGGGTTCTGGGTTTATGGTTTAGGGGGAAGGCAATGTCACGACATGGTAGGTTCCAATAGCTTAGGTTTATGTGCTCTGCTCATCGAAGGATCCACCTTTCAGGCCTCACCCCATACCAAACCCGATTAGAGATGCATCTTACCTGGCTTTCTGCCTTCACGTTGCTAGAAGACCCCGGCTTCCACAAAAACCATGCCCCAACACAACACAATCCCAGAGACTCCAATATCCTTTAATTAATATGGTTTAAGGTATATTCCTTATTTAAGGGATATTGGAGTCTCTGGGATGAACCTGAAACTCCAGACAGAAGCCCGCGTCTGCTTAGGGTTTAGGGTTTAGGGTTTAGGGTTTAGGGTTTAGGGTTTAGGGTTTAGGGTTCCCAATCCGGCCCACCTCCAAGTCTCTGAAGAACTCCAAGAACTTCTCGCCAGCAACTCCATCCGGTCCACCCGGATGGTCCGCTGGGGGGAGCTCGTCGGCATACTTCTGGTAGAGCAGCTTCAACGCCTTCTTGCTGAGCATTACGGCGTTTACGGCGAGACCCGAAACTCTAAACCCAAACCCAAAACTCTAAACCCCTCAACCCTAAACCCTAAACCCCAAACCTTAAACCCTGCACCCCAAACCCTAAACCTAAAGCCCCCCCTCAACCCTCAACCCTCCTAAACCCTCAACGCAGCTCCAGAGGCCTTCTTGTTGACATTCGGCTGCCGGACACTCTTCCGAAGCATCCTGAAGAAAAACTCTCGTTTTGGGTTTTGGGTTTAGGGTTTAGGGTTTAGGGTTTAGGGTTTTAGGGTTTAGGGTTTAGGGTTTAGGGTTTAGGGGCATCCTGAAAAACCAGTGCTCCCGTTTTGGGGTCGTTGCACTTGTGTCAAAACGCATCTTTTCTTAAGAGACCTGCTTAAGTCCTGGCCTTTGGCCCCTTAACATCCAGAAGGATCCACAACGCCATAAAAGACTTCTCGAAAAGACCCTCAACCCTCAACCTAAAGCCCCAATACCCTCCCCAAACCCTAAACCGCTCCTCGGGACAGCATACTGCTCTGTCGGCATGGCGACCATGTCCTGGAGGTCCACAGCGAAGTCTGCACCGTTGATGGACACCGTCCCACGGCGCTGGCCCCGCCGGACGAGGGTGTTGATCTCGGAGCTGACAGCCTCATGGTTTAGGCTGAAAGTAGTTCTAGAAAGGCTTACGAGAAGGGTTGCTCTAAGGGTAGCAGTTCAGGGTTTAGGGTCGTGGGGTGTGTGGCTTGGGGTTCAGGATTTACGACTTAGGGCTTGGAGGCCTGAACTTGTTATGTGATGGATGCACTCACCCCCACAACCATAACGACAAAAACAACCACAATGAAGGTGATGACGATGACGATAACGATGACAGTGGCGACGACGATGATGATGATGATGATGGCGGTTATGGTGATGGTAATGGCGCGATGGTGATGGTGATGGAGATGGTGATGACGGTGATGGTGACGGTGATGGTAATGGTGATAGTGATGGTGATGATGGTGACGGTGATGGTGATGGTAATGGTGATGATGATGATGATGATGGTAATGATGAGGAGGAGGAGGAGGATGGGGATGGGGATGGGGATGGGGATGGGGATGGGGATGAGGATGAGGATGAGAATGAGGATGAGGATGAGGATGATGATGATGATGATGATGATGATGATGATGACGACGAAGGCGATGATTATGATGATGAAGGTCCCCGCACCGTCGTCGTCGTAGCATCGGCACTAGCAGTGACTAGCAGCAGCACATCAGCACCAGCACGTTAGCGCTAGCGCCACTAGCGATAGAGGCGGCAGTCACCATGCCCAGAGAACCCAATACCCCTTAATTACGGAATATACCTTAAATTATAGGGGCCTTAATATTATGATTTAAAGCATTATTCCTTGATTAAGGGGGTATTGGGCTCTCTGAGTAGTACTACAGTTAAAAATGCCCCAGGCCGCCTCATGGAAAGGCCGCCAGATGCCCGGAGACCCAAAGGCACGGTCCCGGAACTCCCAGCGTGGGGGAAGCGCCATCTCGAAGGAGCGGTCGCAGTCTGCATCCCAGGTCTGGAAGTCCATGGCGCTGACCTTGGGGAGATGCTGAAGCTGTGGGGGTTTGGAGAAGTTTGGGGCCGTTTTAGGTTTTAGGGCTCAAGATTTGCAGGTTGCAATAGGTCTCGGGCTTCTTCATGGGTTTGGGGTTGAGAAGGTACTGGTTTTGAGCGCATGACCTTGAACCCAAAGCCCTAAACCCTAAACCCTAGACCCTAGACCCTAACCCTAAACCCTAAACCCTAAACCCTAGACCCTAAACCCTAAACCCTAAACCCTAAACCCTAAACCCTAAACCCTGACCTTGGTGTCCGTGACCCTGGTGACCTTCACCGTCCTGAGGCAGTGCCTCCTGCCACCCTTGATGCAGAGGCTGCCCGTCCTCTTGGCTGACTTCTGAACTCCTCCTAAAAGTTAAACTTTTAGCCTAATTATTATACTTCATATAGAAACCCAAAAAGTTAAACTTTTAGCCTAATTATTATACTTCATATAGCAACCCAAAAAGTTAAAGTCCTAAGAGCCAACCAGAACAACGCCAAGTCCTGGCAACTTCCGAAGTCCGAAGGGAGTGGGCCCAGGGCAACCCGCTTGGAGTGCCATGGGTTTTCAAACATCTATAGAATCTGAGCCAAGGCGGCGCAGCGACCACCAGGGTTTCTGGGTTTAGGGTTTAGGGGTTTAGGGCTTAGGGTTTAGGGAGTAGGGTGTTCCCAGAGACTCCAATACCCCTTAAGTAAGGAATAGACCTTAAATCAAATTAGGGATCCTACTATAATTTAAGGTATATTCCTTAATTAAGGGGTATTGGAGTCTCTGGGCATGAGACAGCGGAAGTCGCACACCACCCTTACGGATTGCGATTTGCAGCGGCTGTTTCGTTTTCTGGTTTAGGGTTTAGGGTTTAGGGTTTAGGGTTTAGGGTTTAGGGTTTAGGGTTTAGGGTTTAGGGGCGGGAAGTCTGGAGTCCGAACTGAAAACATACAGCTCTCTTGAAAGCAACAAAGGACCCCTAGATGAGAGCCTCTGTCAGCAGCTCGATCAGCTTCTTTCCTTCGTCGCCCTGAAGACAAGGAGGAAGTAGTTACAACAGCGTCTGGGAGGGGAGTTCTTGCATAGTATAGGAGCGATAATAAGTAGAATAGGGTTTGGGAGTATCTGATACTATATTTATAATAAGGAACCCCCACAATTGCATAGGTAATTTAGGCCCCTACATCCACTGAAGGATTACTATCGAATCAGGCCCCAAGCTCCTGAACTAGCCCAAAACCGGCCCAAAAACCCTGGACTGCGGCGTCTGCACGCTCCTTTTTGGGTGGCTCTGTCCTCTGAAACACCTTAACCACAGAAAACAAATCCGGATATCTCGCACGTCCCAGAGTCCCTGCACCCCAAGTTCCAAAAACACTTTAGTTTAGGGTTTAGGGTTTAGGGTTTAGGGTTTAGGGTTCCCAAGATCCTGACGTCTTGACCTCGCTGGCCGCTGCAATGCCACTCCTCCTTCTCCTCCTACTTCCCCTACGTCCTGCTCACGGCTATGATGACAACGACTGCCGTGCTTCTGTTGAGTCTGCACACTTGCTGTCTGATGCTGGGGCCCAAATAACAACCAAGACTATTTTGGGTTTAGGGTTTAGGGTTTAGGGTTTAGGGTTCAGGGTTTAGGGTTTAGGGTTTATCTGCTTTGGCTCTATGCAACCTTTTCGCCCCTTAGACTATTCAAGTGCATAGTCTCCCTCCAAACCCCCTAAACCCTAAACCCTAAACCCTAAACCCTAAACCCTATACCCTGACCCTGACTCCTAAATCCTGCTACCCCTAAAGCCGGGTCAGCTTCCCAAGCCTTGAGCCCTTAACCTTCAAACCCTGAACCCTAAACCCGGTGGCCTAAGCCTCAACCCTCAAACCCTAACCCCTAAATCCTAAACCCTAAACCCCTAAACCCTAAATCCCCTGAACCCTAAACCCTAAACCCCTCAAACCCCAACTCCTAAATCCCTTGAACCCTAAACCCTACACCCCTAAACCCTAACTCCTAAATCCCGCTACCACCCGAACTACCAAGTCTCCCTTTCGAAAGGGAGAACCTAAACCCTTTAGGAGGGACCCTTAATAGGGACCCTTGTAGGTTATTGGGGTTAATATGGGGACTACCTGGCTATATAAGGACTATACAATGGTTATTTAAGGTAATGGGATTAAGGGTCCCAATTAGGGGTCCCCCCTAAAGTCCTTAGAGTGTAGGGTTCGTGGATATAGGGTTTGGGGCTTGCTATAAGGATTCCTTTT